CGATCTGATAGGGGAGGCGGTCCTTTCCCTGGGAAGCGCTTGACCTGATGGGGAGGATGGACACACACACACACACACACACACACGCACGCACGCACGCACGCGCGCGCTTGGAGGAAACATCCGGCCCATAAGGGGAACAGGAATGAATGTGCACTGATTCTGAGAGGGCGGGAGCCAGGAGCTGATTCTCAGCCCCTCACCTGGCCCTGCTCAGGTTAGACGAACCTTGGTGGTTGTGGATAAAAGGTGTTACACAGAAAAGAGGCAGGGCTGCCCAGCAGCTTTGCGCCTCTCCTTCGAGCCGGAGGGCTCTGGCCCACCTTCTGGTGTCCTCCAGCCCTCGGGACTCCGGGGCAGGCCAACCCCAGGGGCTCCGCCCGTGCCCCTCGCCCCCCCTGCCCCCTTGCTCCCTTGCTCCCGTTTCACCCTCCACCTCTGGCCCAGGGGGGAGCAGTGCGGTGGCTGTCGGAGATCCAGCACCACGGACCGGCCCCACGCCTTCCAGGTCATCCTCGCCGACCGGCCCTGCCTGGAGCTGAGCGCCGGCAGCGAGGCTGAGATGGCTGACTGGATGCAGCACCTCTGCCAGGCCGTGTCCAAAGGGGTGAGGGCCTCCTGCCCCACCGCTCACCACCTCCCAATCCCACCCCGGGTCCCCAGGGTCCCTTCCCCAAGCCCACGCGAGTCATGCAGCGGCCTCTGAGGACCAAGGTGGGACTTCCAGGGGCCAGCCCAGGAGTGAACCCTGGAGGTTAGGGCCGCCTGTGGCCTGACATTCCCACCATCACCCCTGTCGGCCCCTGTACTCCTGAGGTGGGCGGAGCCTGCCTGGCCTCTGGAGGGAGGGGCAGAGGGGCTGGCAGGCCCCTGACTCGGGGAGTCCTGGTGCAGACCAGCCCTGGAGAGCTCCAGCTTGCCTCTCCCCTCCGCTCCACCGGTGCCCTTCAGGTCATCCCCCAGGGGGTAACTCCCAGCCCCTGCATCCCCTGCTGCCTGGTGATCACGGATGACCGGCTCTTCACGTGCCACGAGGACTGCCAGACCAGCTTCTTCCGCTCCCTGGGCACCGCCCAGCTGGCCGACATCAGCACCGTCTCCACTGAACCGGGCAAGGAGTACTGTGTCTTGGTGAGCCGGGTGGGGGGCGATGGAGGCAGGCCCTGCCGAAGGAGCGCTGCGTCTGCTCACCTGGGGCCCCCGCTCTCCCCAGGAGTTTTCCCAGGACAGCCAGCAGCCCCTCCCACCCTGGGTCATTTACCTGAGCTGCACATCTGAACTGGACCGATTCCTGTCTGCACTGAACTCCGGGTGGAAAACCATCTACCAGGTACCCAGCTGCCCAGGCCCCTGCGGAGCGGAGCCATTCCCTAGGGAAAGGAGCCCCTGCACGGCACAGACCAAGGCAGGAGTTGGGGGCCTGGGGCAGCACCATACTAGGAGCTCTGGGATGGACATCAACGTGTAAAACCAAAGGGGCAAGACCCTGCCTCCCAGTGAGTGTGAGGCTAAAGCTAAGCATAGAGCCCAGGAAACGCCATTCCTGACCTCAGTTCCCGTGAAAAAGCCGGCATTAAGTGCTTACGGTGGGGCTAGAGCTGTGCCCGGATGATGGGGGCACGGAGCTCAGCACCAGGCTGAGAGGGCCTCATCGAATGCCTGGACATATCGCAGTCTGAGCGCGTGCTGGGCTGCCCGGAGGAAGCTCCGGACCAGCCCTGGGCGGAGTTCCACGGCCCGCCTCCCGGCCCCACCCCCAGCCCCCTCCTCCGAGAACCGGGGCCTTCCCTGGAAGGAGGTGGCTCAGGGAGCGGCACCCCTTCGGCCTGAGCCCCTCCTGGAGGAGCAGGAGATCTCAGCAGCGTGGATGTAGTTCCAGGGCAAGGTTACACCTGGTGCGGGGGGACCCCACGGCCCCTCGGCTCCGTGGGGTCTCTCGGTACAGCCCTCAGGTTCCCTGCACGCCCCACACAGGTGGACCTCCCCCGTAAGGCCATCCAGGAAGCCTCCAACAAGAAGTTCGAGGACGCCCTGAGCCTCATCCACAGCGCCTGGCAGCGGAGCGACAGCCTGTGCCGGGGCAGAGCCTCCCGGGACCCCTGGTGCTGAGGCGGAGCTGGCTGGCGTCCTGGAGGGGCCGGAGAGGGAGGCACGCGAGCGGCTCCTGGGGCCAGGCTCCCACCCTCGTTCCCGGGCAGCAGAACCACCGAGTGGGGCTTGAGACAAGGTCTCCCTCCCAGGGATCCAGAACGGGTGCTCAGCACCCTGGGCCTCCCGCCCGGCAGGTGGCAACTGGGAAGTGCTGGGGGCAGGGGGTCCGAGCCCTATGGGCTCTGCAGATGCACGGCCCCCTTCCCCGGGGCCACCGCCTCACTCCACGAGGGGAGCAGGACTCGGAGGGCAGGAGCCCCTCTTCCTCCCCTGGGTCAGGGGCCCGGGCAGAGGCTTAGGCCGCCCTGGGGGCTCTGAGTGCCCGGCCATCCCTGTTCATGTTTGAACGTTCACCCGGCTGGGAGGGAAGCTGGAACACCGCGGTCTCAGTGCATGTCTTCTCCTCACTAGCTCCATCCCCAAGCACACTGCTCCCTGCCTTCCAGGGCCCGGGGGGTTGCAGGGGGCCGGGATGGCCCTCCCTGGCTACCAGGAGGCCCTGCATGTCCACGGCCCCCTACCTCCCCTCCAAACCTGGCAGTGCCTGTAGGACCCAGGGATCAGGCCATCTCCTTTTTGCCAGGAGCAAAGGGGAGGGAGGAGGGCTTGGAGAGGAGCAAAGCCCACCAGCCTGTGTCCCCTGCCTGGCTGGAGCCAGGTCCTTCCCAAGAGGGCCCTCTGGGGGAAGGGGTCAGGTGGCCTGGGTTTTGTTTTTTAAAATAAAATAGACATGTTATATTGCCAAGACTTGTCACTGGCCCTTTTTGATGAGGGTGGAGGTGAGGGGTCTCCGGCGCCTCCTCTCAGGCCACTGGGCCCTTCGTTTCTCATTCACTCCACAAATGCTCTTCTGTCAGATGCTCTGTGCCCACACCGGGATCCAGATCACTGGCGGCTGCCCCCCAGCACTCACTGTGTGGAGGAGTTCGGGCCCTGGGAGCTTCTTGGCCGGAACTTTGCCCTCCTTCCTGTTTCCTGCAGTGGCCAGGGGAGGGCAGCCACCAGCTCGAGTCCCAGGCCGTGGCTACACTGCCAGGGCAGGGCACTCCTGCCTGCCCTGCCTCCCCCAGCTCTGGGCGCTGAGTACCGGCCACTCGGGATCAACCCGGGAGAATCCAGGCTGTCCCCAAGACCTCTTGATGAGCTGCTACCCCGGGGCTGGCCGGAGGGTGCCCAGCCTGCCAGGCCTAGGAGGAGCTCTGCAGCCCTCAAGCCCCTCAGCACTGCAGCCTCCAGGGCCTCACAGCTGGGAGGAAAGGGGTGGACACCTGGAAGAAGCAGGCGTGGAGGCCACAGAGGTGGGGTTCTGGGCAGGGCGGCCCTGCCTCTGGTTCTGATTGGGACTTGGGTGATGCAGGGTGGCCCTGGCAGGAGAGAGGTACCATGGGGCCGAGGCCGAGGTGGGCAAGGTGGTGCCGGCCCCCCACCTGAGCAGCCTGGCACCTGACGGTAGTGCCCAGGGCTGGGAGGTCCCTCCTCACCAGGCACAAAGGTCCATTCCCATGCCTGGGCCTCTGCTCCAGAGGACCACAGCCCAGGAGCGGCTCCCACCAAGAGGAGGGGCAGGACTAGGGGGCAAGTCCTTACCAGGTGAGCGACCAAAGCTGCAAGGTTCACTCCTTGAGACACAGTGGCCCTTATTTTTCCATCTCCTACCCACCCAGGGCCCCCAGGCAGGGGGGGATGTGGGCCGCCTATTACTGAGTGAAGCACACTGTGCTAGGCGTTCTTCACACATCTGTAATCCTCCAGAGAGCCTCTGCAGTGGGTATCCATATCCCCATCTTACAGATGGAGAGACTGAAGCTCAAAGAAAGGAAATGACTTGCCCAGGGCACACATAATAGCAGCTCCTGGGATTCCAGATCAGTTCCACAGGACTCCGGAGCCCTCTGCTCTCACTGGCAGTGGGACCACAGACCGTGGGAGCCAGACTGGAGACTGTGGCCCGGGAAAGGGGATGGCACACAGTGGCAGGGGGGCAGGGCCGGGGCCAGGGGCGGGGTGGGGGGGGGCACGGTAGTTACTGAGTTGCTGAGAGGAGCCTCCCAAGCAGCTGCCTCTTACCCAGGGCCCTGAGCTACAGCAGGACTGGCCAAGCCGGAGGAAGGGCAGCGGCACCAGCCCTTTGCCCAGGGCCAGAAGAAAGGCTGGAGGACCAGAGGGTCAGGAGGAGGCGTCTCGGCTGATTGACACTTTCTGCCCCACCCCACCCCACCCCCACCAGATCG